CTGCGATGCTCCATGGAATGTTCATCCTATCTCAGTTCCAAGCTGGGAGAAAAGCACTGGAGAAAAAATGGAGGCTGGAGGCTGATTGGAAAGAGGGTTCATTTATTGAGGAACAGAACCACATGTTTGTAGTTCTGGTGCAGTTGACCACATGGAGTTGAGAGTAGGGGGTTATTTATACCTTCTCTCAGGCTTTGCACTTGAACCTCCTGTTCCTGTGCAAGAACATGTATTCTATTGGCTGTTGTCAGACTCCCTTGGGGCCACGTACAAATCCCAGGAGTTTCTCTGGGTTAAGTTTGGCTGAAGTTTCTGAGGATGGTGCAGTGAAGGGGCGTGTCAGGGTTCTAACAGATGCCCTAATTAAATCATGAGCCTCAAGCCAAGCTTCAAAAGAAATCCAGTTTTTTATTAGGAGCTTCATGCCAGCATGGATCAGGTGAAGCCAACTCTGACCTCAGTTAATTTGTGCTTTGCCTCTGACCATGTTTCCCCCTCCCCACAATACGTGTCATCAGTCACATTCCCCACCAAAGCAATTTTGCAGGTTGTAAAAGTCACTCCCTCCGGCCACTATGGATTCCCATGGAGATGACCTTGCTGTATTGAGTGGAATGTGCCTTGTTTTGACTAAGATACCAGCTCTTTGATGCAGCTGCAAAGTTCACTCTCCCACACCCCTTGCCCATGGCAACTCGAAAGCAGTTCAGGGAATCTTTGCAAGTTGACAGGGCACTGGGAAATTCCTATTGTGGCTGAGGGCTAATCCTACCTTTGTTGGATCTTGGGTATTTGCTTATGAATAAAGCTATCTATCTCTTTATCTCTTAAGTGCTGATGTCTGCTGAGAGCTATTAAGAAAGGTGAGGGCTATTAAGAGTGAGTCTGCTTCCTGCCTCTAAAAAGCATGTATCTCCATTTCTCATTTAGAGAAATATATTCTTCCTTTTGAATATTTCTCAAAATATTTCATTCTTCTAGGGGTGGGTGCTAACTTTCTACAATAGTAAGAGTGAAAGCCGGATATCACCACTGGTGTTTTATTTTTAATTGATTAAACTATATTATGAATTGTAAGAGTAAATTTTAGTAGACAAATAAAGTGAAATGAGGTTCTTTTAGGACAAAAGTTCACACAAATATTTGTTTTCATTAACGTGTTGTGCCTTAAAAGATTGCAAAAGAGTGTTTTTCTACAGGAAGCAGATGGACATTCCAGAAGTCAAAGGAAAGCTATTCATACTATTTAAACACTTCCTCTTTGAAGTGGCTAATTGCCTAAGCAGAGGCTTCAAGTAACTCTAGTTAATTAAGAATTGCCCATGTGATAAAGCGCAAAAGAATTGTTTGGTGATTAAAAATATTTGTAGCCACAGACCTAAACATAATCTCTGGAAAATGCAACATTGTACTTGTGCAGGCTCAGACTGTCTATAAACAACTTTATCAATTCAAAACCAGATTTGGATAATCTTTTAAGCCAGAGATCATCACTGAGAAACACATGAGATTTCATGTAGAGCAAATTGAAGGGTAGGGGAAAATGGATTTGACACTTTCCACTAAAATCAGAGTAATACCATTAAAGAAAATAATAACTGCAAGACTCAGTTTTGCTAGTCATTGGCAATATTGCCGTTGAATGCTCTGAGATCTGTTACTGGAACTTGAGGATCTTTTCTTTATTCTGTTTGGATATGTTTCATTAAGTTCAAATGGCTGATTTGTTAAATATCCTAAAGTTTCATTTCTTGTATTTGAATTTTGTAATTGTATTTTGAATTTGGCTCTTCAGAAAACCTCTCTGCAAAAAGCTGATTCAAGACATGATCATGTGCCTAGCAAATAATGGAAGTTAATGGAGTTATTTAAAGTACTTCTCAGTTTCCAGGACTTAGTCATTTAATTGTTCAACTACCTCTTTTGCTGATACTCTGCTTTTAAAGTGCTGAGAAAATAATTGTTATGTGTTTTTAGCATGATACAGTACTGAGGGCCACATAGCAACCCTTAAATGTTTTGCTTGTCTCATTTTTCTTAGAAATGTATCCTCCTCCTCCTCCTCCTCCTCCTCCTCCTCCTCCTCCTCCTCCTC